GCAGCTTGGCTCCTTGGGTTTGATCCGCCCCGCCCCACTCTGTGCTCCGGAACTCCGCGCGAAGATCTCTGACGACTGTTGAGGGGATCGGCACCGATGGTCAACCTGCATTGCCGTCGGTCCGAGACAGTCGACCCGCACAGTAAGGGTGAGCGCCTTTCCAAGGGTACCCTTGCATCCTTCCCCTTCGGCCCATCCTTGGCCGCTTTCGCTGGCCGCGCCCCGCTCGCAGGGTGTCGGCATAGCCTTCCAGGGCTCCTGCATCCTCATCGTGCATCCTTCTTATGTGGGCCGACTGTGCCATCACCGGGAGATGACAAAAACAGAAGCCTGGCTCCTCGATGAGTTTTTGAGTGCTCGGGTTAAGTCGGGCATATCCTTCTACAGGAGGAAGATTCAAACATAATTTTCACACGCACACACACACACACACACACACACACACACAAAAGTAATAAAAAAAAAGAGGGGACGATTTGTTGTGCTCTGTTGATTATGTGTGTATGCTTTCATCTGTTCTATTTGTCTGCCAAAATCCTCCCGAAGCAGGACATGCCCGACCTAGTGCTCGGGGCCCTCCCCCCGAGCGCCCCTCCGCGCCCGCGCGCTCCCCGCGCCTCGAGCCTCAGGTGAGCGGCTTGCAAAGCTCGGCAAAAAGTGCGAGCCCTTCGCGGAGCCGCACAAAAGTGCGATTTGGAGGAGGTTGGGCAAGGGCCTCCATTCCACCAGGGATGGGGCCACGGAGTCGACCCCTTCACTTTCTTGCCCATCCAACTGGGTTTTTTTGACCGTGGCTCTCAAACCAAAAAATAATTTGGCAAAGGACCCAACCAGATGCAGCTGTGAGAATCGCAATTGTGAATATCGTCTTCGGTGGCGCTCCCTATGGGGCACGAACTGCATGAGGGGCGTGCCGAAATGTGTGGCGGGGTACACAACACGAACGATGACGATAGGTCTGAGCACGAGAGACTGAACGCGGGTGAGTCTGAGCGCGAGCGAGTCTGATTCTGAATGAGTCTGCGCGCGAGTGAATCTATTTGCATGAGTGCGAGCATGGCTACACCGAGTGTAAATCTATATGAATGTGAACGGTTTGGGTATGCCTGGCTCTGGGTGCTCGTGGCACTGAGCGTGGGTGCCAAAGGGAGCTACCCCAGAAACCCCGATGGCACCGCCCGCGCGCCGCGACGCCCATTTCGGCACGCCCCTCTCGAGGATCGCGCCCGCTTCCTTCTCTTGTTTTTCTCCCTCTATGGCCCTGCGCTGCAAGGCCCCTGCAAGCGCAGCGCAGCGCGGAGTCCCCGCGACGCGCGCCGGTCGCCCCGAAGGGGTCCCAGCGACGCGCGCGGGCCGTCCGGTGCGCGGAGCAAAGAGAGCTGGCTGGCTGGCTGATGGCGGGCAAGGGCAGAGCGACGACGGGCGAGCGAGGCGCTGGGCAGAGCGCCGCGCGGAGTTCCTGCGACGCGCGCTGGTCGCCCCGAGATGGCCCCAGCGACGCGCGCGGGCGCGCGGGTCGTCCGCTGCGCGGAGCAGAGAGGGCTAGCTGGCTGGCAGATAGCGGGAAAGGGTCTGGCCGCTGGGCAGAGCGACGACGGGCGAGCGAGGCGCTGGGCAGAGCGCCGCGCGAGTTCCCGCGACGCGCGCTGGTCGCCCCGAGGGCCCCAGCGACGCGCTCAGGTCGTCCGCGGCGCGAGGCCAAACACTTGGGCAGTCAGTCGAGAGCAGGCGCGGCTCGGGCGGGCCGCTCCTCAGGTCAAGCCTCGCGGATAAACCAAATGAAGCCCAGCTCCCTGGCGAGGGCCGTCGCCTCCCTCTGCGCCGCTTCGTGCGCGCCGCAAACCGGTCCAGCTGCTTCCGCAAGCCTTCCGGCGGCCCTGCCAGGAAGAATTCGATGCGCGGCGCCCGCATGAGCAGGAGGTCCTCGTGGCGGGTGGCGCGCGAGAGCAGCGCATGGAGCTCCAGCCGCCAGTCGTCGTCCTGATTCTTGCCATTCCCGACCTCGTGGCGGCCGCAGTCCAGGATCACGCTTGGGCGACCTCGACCGAGAGGGCAGCGCGCCGGACAGCCGACGGCCCAAGGCGAGAGTCCACAGGACCGAAAAAAGGCCTGGGGGATCCTCATGGGGCCACGAGACGTGTGAGGGGTGTCCCACAATTGGGCGGCGCCGCCACGCAAACTGTGCCACTGAGACCTTAAGTGGCGCCCCCTACGGGGCCCCGAAGACGCGCATGGGGCGTGCCAAGATGGGGCGGCGACGCCATGCGAACTGCGCCACGGGGACCTCAGGTGGAGCTCCCTACGGGGCCACGAAACGCGCGAAGGGTGTGCCACAATGGGGCGGCGCCGCCGTGCGAATTGCGCCACTGGGACCTTAAGTGGCGCTCCCTATGGGGCCACGAAACGTGTGAGGGGTGTGCCAGAATGGGGCGGCGCCGTCATGCGAACTGCACCGTTGGGATCTTATTTGGAGCTCCCGATGGGGCCACGAAACGTGTGAGGGGTGTGCCAGAATGAGGCGGCGCCGCCATGCAATGGGGCCACGAAACGTGCGAGGGGTGTGCCAGAAAAGGGCGGCGCCGTCATGCGAACTGCACCGTTGGGACCTTAGGTGGAGTTCCCTACGCGGGCCACGAAACGTGTGAGGGGCGTGCCAAAGTAAGAGGGCGACGAGAGAAGACAGGAGGGAGGAGAGGAGGAGAGGAGAACACGAGAGGAGAGGAGAAAAGGACAGGAGGGAAAACGAGGACCCAACACCACCGGACGGTTGGGAAAACATTGTCGGGTGTTCGGCCCCCCCCCCCCGGGCGCCCCTCCGCGCGCCCGCGCAGCTTCCCGCGCCCGCGCCTCGGGCCGCAGCCGCCCCCTTCCCACGCCCCGCCGCCCCCGCCCCTCGTCGGCGAGCGAGGGGGGGAAATGAGAAGGAGAAGGCCTTCTCAGAAGGCGGGGGGACTTCCCAGAAGCCCCCGCGCCTCCTGGGAGGTCCTCCCCTGCCTTCTCGGGGAGGGCCCAGGAGACTTCTCGGGAGTCCGGGGGGGACTTCCGAGACTTCTGAGGAGGGTTTCCTCCTCCTCCTCCTCCTCCTCCTCCTCCGCCTCCTCTCCTCCTCCTCCTCCTCCTCCTCCTCCTCCTCCTTCCTCCTCCTCCTCCTCCTCCTCCTCCTCCTCCTCCTCCCTCCTCCTCATCCTCCTCCTCCTCCTCCTCTCCTCCTCCTCCTCCTCCTCCTCCTCCTCCTCCTCCTCCTCCCTCCTCTCCTCTCCTCCTCCTCCTCCTCGCTCCTCCTCGCTCCTCGCTCCTCCTCGCCCCCTCGCCCCTTCTCGCTTCCCCCCCCCTCGCCTCGCCCGCCCCGCCCCCGCCCCCCGCCCGCGTGCGCGCGCCGCCCCTGGGGAGGGGGCGGCCCGCCGGGGCGCGCCGCGCGCAGAGCGGGCGCACAGATGGTCGCCCGCCCGCGCCTGAGCCGAGCCCGCCCGCCGCCGGGAGGAGGAGCGAGGAGGAGGAGGAGGAGGAGGAGGAGGTGGAGGAGGTGGAGGAGGTGGAGGAGGAGGAGGAGGAGGAGGAGGAGAGGAGGAGGAGGAGGAGGAGGAGGAGGAGGAGGAGGAGGAAGGGGAGGAGGAGGAGGAGGAGGAGGAGAGGAGGAGGAAGAGGAGCGAGGAGCGAGGAGCGAGGAGCGAGGAGCGAGGAGCGAGGAGCGAGGAGCGAGGAGCGAGGAGCGAGGAGCGAGGAGGAGGAGGAGGAGGAGGAGGAGTGAGGAGCGAGAAGGAGCGAGAAGGAACGCGGAGCGAGGAGGAGCGAGAGGAGAGAGGGGAGCGAGGAGGAGCGAGGAGGAGGAGGAGGAGGAGGAGGAGGAGGAGGAGGAGGAGGAGGAGGAGGAGGAGGAGGAGGGAGGAGGAGGAGGGAGCGAGGAGGAGCGACAAGGAGCGAGGAGGAGCGAGGAGGAGCGAGGAGGAGCGAGAAGCGAGGAGCGAGGAGCGAGGAGGAGGAGGAGGAGGAGGAAGAGGAGGAGGAGGAGGAGGAGGAGAGCGAGGAGGAGGAGGAGGAGGAGAGAGGAGGAGGAGGAGGAGGAGGAGGAGGAGGAGGAGGAGGAGGAGGAGGAGAGGAGGAGGAGCGAGGAGGAGCGACAAGGAGCGAGGAGGAGCGAGGAGGAGCGAGAGGAGCGAGAAGCGAGGAGCGAGGAGCGAGGAGGAGGAGGAGGAGGAGGAGGAGGAGAGGAGGAGGAGGAGGAGCGAGGAGGAGGAGGAGGAGGAGGAGGAGAGAGGAGGAGGAGGAGGAGGAGGAGGAAGGAGGAGCGAGGAGGAGCGAGAGGAGCGAGGAGCGAGAAGCGAGGAGCGAGGAGCGAGGAGCGAGGAGGGGAGGGGGAGGCGGAGGAGGAGGAGGAGGAGGAGGAGAGGAGGAGGAGGAGGAGGAGGAGGGAGGAGGGAGGAGGAGGAGGAGGAGGAGGAGGAGGAGGAGGAGGAGGAGGAAGGAGGAAGGAGGAAGGAGGAGCAGGAGGAGGAGGAGGAGCGAGGAGCGAGGAGCGAGGAGGAGGAGGAGCGAGGAGGAGGAGGAGGAGCGAGGAGGAGCGAGGAGGACCCAGGCCCCCTCCTGCTGCGAGGAGAACGTCACGGCGGGAGGTTGTTCACTGTGTTCGGCCCCTCGGGGCCCTTGCGGGGCCTCGGGTGTCGCAGAAAACGACTCCCTCGTCTCGGGGTGCTGCCCGAAATGCCCCCTGGCCCAAAGGTGCCCCCAGGAGTTCCAGGGAGGCCCCGCGGCCTCCAGAGCACCCCCATCACGAGCCGCCAAGGGGCCCCAGGGGCTCCAGAGTTCAACGGAAGGCTGGGGGGGTGCACCTTGGGCCAGGAGCACCTGCAGCAACCCTCCCTCGTCGGGCCCGAGCCTTCTCGCCCTGCGAACAAAAATCACGGCGGGAGGTTTCTCGCTATTTTCGGCCTCGCCGAGTCCCCCTCGCTCTGCAAAAGAGACGCGACGGGAGGTTTTTCGCTATGTTCGGGGCCTCGGGAGCC